ATTAATATGCACGAAATAATATAATAAATAAAAGGGTTTAGATTCCTTAATATACTTCTATTAGAGTTTATATAAATGGTTAGTAGAAAATTTTTCTTAAAGTTTAGTACATAAAGTATTATTTTTAGAGCATAATTGAAACGTGAAACGAGTGCATCAGGCGCTGTCTATGTTAAAAAGAAAAAAAAAAAAGGTATTTTACAAACGGAAACGAAGTTCTGAATGCATAAACTTTCTAGTAAATGTTCGTAATATTAAGAATAATTCGATACGGAATCAATTACGTTGTTGACCACCGCCCCGACCATATCCCTCACTGTGACGCGTTAGATTCATTCCACTACTTTCATGATGGTACTCATGGGACGGTTGTCCGCTAATTGGTTGACTGTAAGCGTGGCCGCCAACATGTGGGTTACTCTGCACATAACTTTGTTGCGAATGCGAGTACCAATCAACGGGTCTTAAAATTGGGGATTCGCTTTCATATTTAATCTGTACAGGATGGTGATCAGGTTGGCGTTGTTGCACATGGTCCAAATGTTGTGTCTGGAGATTGTGCTGATGGGATTCGGAAGAATGTTGTTGCACATGCTGATTATAATAATGGTGTTGGTATACTTGTTCTGCAGTGACTGGTCTAGCCGAAGGACCGGGAGTTACTTCGGCAGAAACAGTCGCATACTGCGGACGAGAATGATTCCTGAAGGATGCTACCTGTTGACCTGCAACGGGGGGTAAGTGGGGGTAAACTAAGAGGTGGTTGTTGATGGTGATGATGCTGCTCAGGATGATCATGAAGGACTTGTTGGTGCTGCGGCTCCATCCGGTGCATATATTGCATATGTTGTAGATGCTGCTGATCGAGCATCCAATTCGGCAAGGATGATTATTATTAGAAATAATAAAGAAAAAGCTGCATGGCAATAAATTTTCATACCTGGTGTTCGTTTAATGTGGTCATGGGATCAACTACTACTTTTTGATCAACAGGCACATTTTGAGACTAAATAAAAAGGATTCAATAAATACAATATAATCGGTGAAAATAGGTTTGATTGATTTGTACGCCTATGATGCAATATCGATTTGGTCGATCTCGCGCTGTAGACACTCACAGACAAATGTAGAAATTAAAATGTGGAGAAACTTACAGTGTTGAATTGAGGTCCGCCCTGTGCCAACCCCATTCCAAAGCCATATGGACTTTGATGATCCTGATACTCCAGCTGTTTGACAAACAAACAAATATCACTAAAATAGATCGTGGATTTAACTTTTTTTCATTCATTATGCCAAACCTTTTCAGTCTTTACGTTGACTTTTTCTTCTCTTGGGACAATGTCTATTAAAAAGTCAAACATGTCTATCTTTTTTATCGCATTAGCAATATCTGATCTTTGTAATGTTCTTCGTTTGCATTCTTCAGCATGGAGCCTGAAAATTAATATTAGAAATTTGAATCATGAAATTTTATGCGGATAAAAAAAAAAAAAAAGCGGGATTACCATGCTCGCATTGTTAATTCAGTTATAAAAATATCGCAACCTTTTGCGAATAAAATAGGAGCCTGATGATGATAAAGTTCAAAATTTCGGATGATTTGTCTAAAATTATTTTCGCGTGAATTCTTCAAGGATATGACTTACTTCTGCACTGATCATCTTTATGAAAAATGAAAATTTGGAATAGCGGGTAAGAAATTAAAAAAAATACGCGGGAGATTGATAAAGCAATATCGAATGTAATTTATAGATGAACAAAGTAGAATGAAAGTCGGAGAAGAAAAGGAAACCACCATGCGTACGATGAAATCATTAGGATTCGGTGTAACCATCCCTTGGATCCATAAATTGATCGATATATTCTCTAATAATGTCTTTGGTGAAAAAGAAGAAGCGGTTTGTAAAACTCTACCTTAACCTCCTCATCGGTTTTCATGACCTTCTTGATTCTGGCGAGAGGCAACTGGTGAACCTTAAAATCGTGTACACCGTGTCGTATTTCATGTACTTGTTGTTGCCAAAAGCTATCAAGAACGTTATAATGTTGCGGTTGAAATTGGTGTTGTGGATGCATTGGCGGAGGAGCCGCTGCCAGGGTAACTTGTGCTTGGGGATCCGTTATGAGATGTTGAGCACCCGGACCACCTACAAGTTGGTGTTGTGGTAGTACCCTTTGGTGCTGGATTAAATGATGGTGGTGATTTAAGTGGTGCGCGTTTGGATCCCCCATTATTTCTTGTCTTGCTGTACGCTGTCAAATCTCACAGGTAGGTACGTTTACTTTAGGGAACAGGAGAATTAACAAGAATTGTCCCCGGCTTTTATATGTCTCTGAAAAGTTTCTATTTATATATAATTTTTTTTTTTTTTTTTTTTTTTATATATACTATCGCGACTTACTAATGTGTTACCTTGCAAATTTACTTGGCAGATTTGGCTGTAAAAGGATTAAAATTTGCTTTGTAAGGTGTGGTGGCTTGAACCAAATGAAACAATATTAGTTTATAGCCCCGCACCAGTGTTCTACCTTTGGATCAACAGGCCTCTTTGCAAGCAAAGAGTATAAACGGAACAACCTTTTGCAGTGACAACCAATCCAATCGTTGCTAGCTTTATATTAGTTTACTCAACTCCAATTAGAGAATTTTAGCATTATACCCCAAAAATTGACTGTTGTGTCCTTTGTGTTTTGTTTGTTATGTTGGTAATCTGCTGTATTAATCTTATAATTTTCCGATTTTTTAGTGAAAAAAGAAAGTAATTCATGGACAGAAATATTAATACCCCGTGTATATATGTGTATGTGTAGATATATTACAGGGGTGTCTTCTCCGGTTCTTGTTTTTTTCAACTAATACAAAGATCTTTTTTTTCTGGAATTTTAATAATTTTCGATAATTTTTTTTTATTTTATTTGGACGTCTTTTATAAGAAAAATTGATCACAAGTCGCAACGCGATTATATTACAAATATCTGTAAACATTTGATGCTAGATGATCACACATTAGCCAAAAGTTTTTATCTAATATGGTACCGCAGGTTATTTATATAGCCAAAGAAAATAGAAGAATCTTGACGTTTGATCATGTGCGATTGGTGCACCATGTTTTTACACATAAATTCTATTGTGAATTATATAATCTCTAACCCGTATCGGTATTATCATAATTCTGCATTTTATTCGTTCGTGAGAATTCCGAATTTTTAAACTACGATTATCAGATTCTTGTCGCTACTTTAGCGGACAGTCGGTGATTCCCGCTGTTTTGTAATCCCCGTTATAATTGTTTGACCGATTTGGTCATAACGCCTATTCGTGGAATGTCTAAAGGTCTGCAATCGAATCCCGTTAATCTAAATGCTATCAAGCATGGCTCCAACATATTTATTGTGTACCATGCATTTAGAAAATCAAGGTAACAAATTACATAAAAAGAATTTAATATGCAATAATTCATGATCACCTGAAATATATATGCAAGGCGTTCAATTAGTTCATTTAATTCTTACCACTAATATGAATATACGCATGTAACTATTTGACAACAAAAACTAAATATAAATTGACTGGCAACCAATCATACGCTTCTTCCTGCTATGCTCTTTGAAGACACATGTAGCTCCGTATGGCTGGATGTATATATGTGCATACATACGCAAATCGTTCGTCTTCAATCATGGGAAGCAAAATCTATTAACCGGCATCGATACATTTTATCTCCATAATTTAAATATTGATATGCTATATTTGGAAAAACTTCCATAATCTCTTCCTACAAATAAAAAAATCGCCTGTTATATTTCCCACATGTCCACATGTTCATTAATGTCAGATTGATCACATTAACACGATCTTGACGCGAATAGTATTTACTTTTTTTTTTTTGACTAAAAGACAATTTATTGATTATGCAGTAGAAATTCTAATATGTATACTAAGTGAACGACCGATAAGCTTGTAATAAACTTGCACAGATCAATATAATCTTGAATAGGTAATAAATAATTATATAAATAATAAACAAATCCACAAGAATATAAATTTATATAACAGGAATCTGTTTATTATATTTATAATCTTGTATATACTTCATCCGAGATGGTAAATGATTTTATGCCACTTGTCTAAATTAAATACGGGTATTAATAAAATTTTATCCGGGTGAAATCAAAACTTATTTTCACCGGGTTAAAGTCACCCGATAACGATAAGCTATAATGGCAGTCACATGACTAAAGAGATTAGCAATAAATCTAAGTGACTTTAGCCCGGGTTAAAATAGAATTTTCTTAAAAATTTTATAAAGATACCCGGAATAGAGCACCTAGTGTGGATTTTATTGATGGAGATATGTCTCAATTTGATTGGTTGATCATAAAATAAACCACATATATTTAATATTCTGATATTCGGACATTCAATAGTTTGTATCTTTCTAGCGCTAGCATTATAATCTTTACTATCTTGACTCCTCACTTATTATTTAGGGTTTGGGGCACGAGGGCACAGGCATATCTGCAATATCTTACGTAATGCTCTATATTCCCGGCTAATAGAATTACGGTGTCTTTTAATATTAAGACGAGGTTGAATTACGGTTTGTAACTTTTTCTACAGTAATTATTTATTATATAAATACTGTAAGATTTTTTAAGTTTTTGAAAAACAAAATTTAATAAAAGCTTTATATTTTAATTTTATACACTGGATTTACCGTAGTGCACTGACTAAAAGACCCGGTCTAATACAAAATACTTAACAAAAAAACCCGACTATATTATGCTATTGCGGTCTGTATTGCAAGAAAGAAACCTTTCAAGTATATACAGTATATATTTAGCTTTTATAATAAGCAGTTCAAGAATTTAAAAAAAAAATTAGTTAGTATACTACAGAATAGAATTAAAACAAAACTTTTAACTCTATTTTATTTTATTTTTCTGTGGTATTAAAATACTTTTTTTGAGTTTTGGATTTTATTAGAAAGTACAGTTATCTATATATAAATTTAGTTGTCTATTTAAAGATTTTGTTTAAAAGTTGTTTATTATTTATTATTTTTTATTTATACAGTACCGGACAGCAAAAAACATCAAATTTTTTTTCAAAAGCGCCAAATTTGAGGATTATATAATCAATTCTGATTGGTTAATTTGTGTATAGTTAATTCTGATTGGTTAAAAATATATATTGACAGCTTTTTTTATATAGTAAATGCCAAATTTTTGATTACATATAAACTTTATTTTGTAATACAGTAACTTTTTAATCTTATTAAGATAAATAAAAATCTATTCTTACAAAATTGTAGCTTAGACAAAAAGTAACAAATATGTAATATAGATTTTTTTTAAAGTTATTTGGGCTTGAGTTATAATAAAATTTATATTTTATATATAAATATTAAATGTTTTTTGCTGTCCAGTATTGTAGTAATTTTGTTTTTATTTTATTTTATTTGTTTTATTTTTTTTTCAATATAGATATTTGTGTTAGTAATGTAGTTTATTAGAGTTTAGTTTGTAAAAATATATGAATCTACTACTTTAAAATAATAGATTATAATAATAAATCTGTTGTTTTGATATTTTGTGGCTGCTTTAACAAAACTAAAGTTAACTAAGTACCTATAAACCAGGCCTACCAAAAAATCAATTTCAATTAATTTTTATCATACGTTATATAATTAAAATCAATTAAAATTATCATGAAATTAATTGAAACCCAATTAATGACGAAATAATTGCAATTAATTGCAATT